CTACTCTGATTCTTAGTAACCTTATACAATACAGTGACTTTGTACAGGCTATGTGATAGAGTAGAATTTTGCCAAAGGATCTTCTAGGCTGTAGTCTTTATGAGGTTAGATGCCTAGGTCTTTCCTTCTGTGGAGCTGCTGGTGAGTTCAAACTCCTCATTTTTTAATTACTTATGAACTAGATATATTTTCTCTATTTCACCTGATGGTGTGTATAGGGATCAGATCATCTATATCTGTGGGAAGAATCGCTGGAGAAGCTCAATATCAGCTGTGAAAACTAGGCCAGGTGCTGATTATGGAACAGGCCACTAACTACTCATATGCAAGTTCAAGCTGAAGCTAAAGAAGATGAAATCAAATTATCAGGAACCAAAATGTGACCCTGAGTCTATCCCACTTGAATTTCAAAACTGTCTCAGGAACAGATTTGAGACCCTTAACACTAATGAGTGAAGACCAGATGAACTGTGGGAGGATATAATGAATATAATTCATGAAGAATGCAAAAGGTCATTGTAAAAACAGAGAAGAAAAGACCAAATGGATGTTAGATGAGACTCCGAATATTGAACTAGAGAACCAAGAAGCTAAAGTAATGGGAAGAAATCAAGAAATTAAGGAGGGAAACAGGAGATTTTTAAAAAGGCAGGCCGAGACACAAAGCAAAATATTATAATGAAATGTGTAAAGAGCTGGAGCCAGAAAAACAAAAGGGTCAAACTCGCTCAGCATTTCTTAAACTGAAGGAACAGAACTGAAGAACAAATTCAAGCCTTGAGTTGCAATACTTAAGGATGCTTTGGGAGGAATATGAAATGATCTAGGAAGCATTAAAAGAAGCTAGAAGGAGTAGACTGAGTCACTGTACCAAAAAGAGTTGGTTGACACAAAAGAATTTCATGAAATAATGTATGAGCAGGAGCCTGTGGTGATGAAGGAAGACGTGTAAGCTGCTCTTAAGAAATTGTCTAAAATCAAGGCCTCAGGAATTGATAATATATCAATTGACATATTTCAACAGATGCTGCCCTGGACATGCTCACCAGATTGTGCCAAGAACCACCTGGCCAACTACTGGAAGAGATCCACATTTGTTCCCATTCCAAAGAAAGGTGACTCAACAGAGAGTGGAAATTATCAAACAATATCATTAATATGACATGTAAACAAGATTCTGCTGACATTTATCCAAAAACAACTGGATCAGCATATCAGCAGAGAACTGCCTGAAGTGCAGGCTGGGTTTAGAAGAGGCTTTGGTACTAAGGGGTATTATAGCTAATGTTAGGTGGATCTTGACTGAAAGCAGAGAGTACCAGAAAAATGTCTGTGTTTCATTGACTATGTAAATGCATTTGACTCTGTGAATCACAACAAACAGTGGCTGACTATGAGAAGTATGGGACTCCCAGAAACTTTTGATTGTGTTTTTGTGAAACCTATACTTCGACCAGGAGGCAGTTGTCAGAACAGAGCAAGGAAACACTGCATGGTTTAAAATCAGGAAGGGTATATGCCAGAAATGTGTCCTATCTCCATATCATCTCAATCAATATGCAGAACAGTTCATTTGGGAGGCAGGCTCTGTTAGAAGAAATGTGGCATCAAGATTGGAGGAAGACTCATCAACAACCTGCGTTATGCAGATGACACAAACCTGTTTGCTGAAACTGAGGAGAACCTGAAGTACTTGCTGCAGAAGGGCAAGGATTTCAGCCTTCATTATGAATTAAGGTTCAACATCAAGAAAACAAATATTCTCACCACTGGGCCATTTGGCAGCATCATGGTCGACAATGAAGAAATTGAGATTCTTAATAGCTTTCATTTGCTTGACTCCACAGTCAATACTCTTTTTTTTTTTTTTTTTTTTACACAGTCAATACTCTTAATGCCAACAACCAGAAAATAAAAAGATGAACTGCATTGGGAAAGTCTACTATCAGGGACTTCTCCAAGAATACTGAAGAGCAATGATGTCAGTCTGGAGACTAATGTGTGCCAGATCTAGGCTATGGTCTTTGCAATTATGTGCTATGCATCAGAAAGCTGGAAAATCACTAGGGTTCTTAGAAGGAGAACTGATTGATGCCTTTGAGCTGTGGTGCTCGAGAAGAGTATTGAATATACCATGGATGCTAGGAGAACAAACATCTTTGTCCTGAAGAGGGTGAGACCAGACTGATCCTTGGAGACAAGGATTCTGAAGCTCTGTCTGACATACTTTGGACATGCTGCAAGGAGGGACTAGTCCTTGAATAGGGACATTATGCTTAGGAGGGTAGAGGGACAATACAAGAGAAGAAGATCCTGGATGAGATGGATTGACTCAGGGACCGGGGTAACAGAGGTAAGTGTGTCAGAAACAATAAGTTTGGCTCAGGATAGAGCAGGTTTTAGGAGTGTTGTACATAGGGTTGCTATGAGTCACTGGCAACTTGACAGCACATAACAACAAACTACCTTTGTTCCACGTTCAATTTTAACTTGGAATAAAAAAATCTTTACTCATTTTTCTTGACGAAAGCATCTTCTCAGTGTGAAGGTGATTTTTGTTTATTTTTGTGAAATTTCACAGCAGATTTGTACAATACAATATATGTAATAGAAATGCTTATATAATTATATATATAAAAAGAATATACTATGTAAATAGTGTGAGGTAATAATGATATATAAAAGCTCACAGTGTTAAACTGCTTTGGCGGCATAGTCCTTAGCCAGTAATGCTGCTAACCCACAGGTTACTTCTTTCTGCTTGTTCAAATCCACCTGCAGATGCACAAGAGAAAAATGGGCAATCTCCTGCTGCATCCTTGGAAGTTGCTATGAAGCAGAAAACATTCAACAGTAGTGAGATAATGAAACGAATTAAAGAGAATAAATATTGCTGGGGATGGCTTACTCAAAAATAAAAATTTTTCTTTTCTTTCATTCAAAGACAAATAAGTTACTTTGCAAAATGTTATGAAATTATGTTTATTGATTTATCTGGTGCCTTTTCAAATTATCTTGACAATTATTACAACACATCTTCCATTAGTAGAACACAGAAGTGATATCTTGTACATCCTTTGACAACAATGCACACAATTAAACAAAGAACTTTGAAAAGAAGTGTACATCTTTTATCATGCAATGCCCTTAAGATAATTTATATATTCATAATTCCATTCCTTCACAGTTTGCTATTTAAGAAATATATAGTTAATACCATCTCTGAGCTACAAAAGACAAAACTAAACACCCAAAATGCTGAGGTTAAATAAAATGGAGTAACTGCTAAGCTGGCATGATGGTGAATATTTTCATGTTTGGAAGGGCTTTTTGGATGAGTTTCTGGAGTCAGCAGATTGGGAATTATTATAATGTAGCAGTTCTCTACCTCCAGGCTGAGTCCCTCAGAGGATAGAGAACACTTACTGTAAAACCTCTCTGCTGTCCCTTCGTCTACTTTCTTTATCAAAGTCAAAAGCTCTTACCTGTGAGCTGAGTTTGGAGTTTTCTGTCCAGCTTAACAGCTAAAGACACTTTTTTATATATTTTCTATTCTTCTTCTGCATCAGTGCTGCTAACCTTTGTAAACATGTTACATGTATAGTTAAAGTGCTTGGTTGTGCTTCTTCTGAGTCACATTCTGCTGCTCCAGTTTTGAAAGTGCACCTATCAGAAAGCTTCATAAGTTCTGACAGTCTTCACAAAGAGGAGAGAATGGCTCTTACTAGGTAGACATTAAGGTAGACGTCAGTGCTGTCAGCAGCACCCTCAACTGAGGTGACTGAGTCCTGGGGTGCGAGCTCTTTCATGTGTGAATGCCGGCAGCTTACCACAGACACATTTCATAGCCAGCACTCTCTGGTAAGTTCACATCTCACTGTTTTTCAAATAAGCATCATCCCTTTTCCATAGAATATATAAATATATATAAAATAAACTTGGGAAGTAACATTTTTTACATTGTTTAACATTTTCTTAAACAGATGAGGAAAATAACTATTTAACAGGAATATATGATTAGGTATTAGATGCATGACAACAGTCCAGAAAAAGAGGTGTATAGCAAAGTGGACTCGGGGTGGGGAGGAGGAAATTGTGCAACAGTGAATTTTTCTTTTTTTAAAAGAGAAAAGTGAACTGGGGTGTTAGGGAGGAAGACGTTAAATAGAGAATGAGTGGAAATCCAAGTTCTCGAAACTGTCATTAAAATCTCAATAAAAACTAAAATTCTATTTTTTTTTTAAAAAAGAAATAACATTTTGTAGCCCATTTAAAAAACTTTAAGGAATCTTCCTGACTATCCTCAATGAGCAAAAACTAGATTTGAGAAGGCAAAAATGAATTTATTCTCCTCTGGGTTGAGGACCACAGCCCTGTCTAGTTTATTTTTCTTCAGGTTTTCGACATGAAGGCAACTTCTCCAAGCTTTTGATCTGGTTTTAGTCTCCCCTCATTGCTCTAAGAGGCATTTATAATTTAGGCTAAACTTATACCAACTGGCAAAGAAAAGAATTAAATAAGGTCAATTAGGACAAGAATAAAGTGGTTGCAACACATCATGTAACTGTAAACAGTGGTACTTCAGTTCTGTTGTTGTTAAGTGCCTTCAAGACAAATGTGACTCATAGTGACCCTATGAACAAAAGACCTGAACCCTGTTCTATAACTTCAGCTGTACTTATATATAAAAAATAAAAACCTGTAGGTATTAAAAGCTCTCTAAAAAATAGAGATGTGAAGTGAAAATGTTGGAAAAGTGGTTATCATTACCTTAAGGTATTTAACATTTTTTATAGTATATGACATTTGAGCTATTAACAATAACATGAAATAGGAGTATGCATTGAACAAGTTCATTAGAGTGACAATACACTGTGTACCAAATAGTTTTGAAATTACATTTAGATGCTTTTCTATGAGAGATGGTGCTTACTTCTTTTTAGTCATGGCTCTTTGAAAACGTGATACAGTCTTCAGCTTACCAGAGAGTGTCAAACAGGTCAAAGACTGGATTCCATGTTAGTTCTGCAAGAGTTGCTGTGCCAATTTCTATACTTAAGAGGCTTTATAAAGATCTTGTGGAAAAACATCCGGAATATTGATGTTCTGAAAATGATGAATATCCAAGGATCCACAATCGAAATTACAGACAGAAAACGCAAAGCTTGCAGGTCCTCCATTTCTTCAGAGTCTCCACTTCTCTCACTGAGAGATTTAAAGGCTCCATAGTAAGCACGGACCTATTTTGGAAGGGAAAAATTCCATTAAGAAAGCAAAAGGTTGGTGGCAGGAATAAACTGAGAAAACATTTACTTTCCTGTAAGAACAGGCAGCTTGGTTCAGAATATTGATTTTTGAAAGTGCACAAGCAATTAAAGTTACTGGAGCTGGTGGGATAGACCTAGGTACACAGTGAGAGTTGAGGGACCTGTGGATGCTTTTCTATGAGCTGTGAGCCTGGTAAGGCTCAAGTTCTAGGTCCTTGAGGGCCCATGCAAGGACAGAACAGATGTGGACTAATCAGATCCACTGAATCTTCTATAAGCAGGGTTCTCCAGAAACAGATTCTCTATCCAGCTCAGCCTCTCCATACTTCTTTTTAGTGCTCTTTGCTTTCTATTCTCTCGAGTTAGCCATGAAACGAGTCACCCTTGTGCAGTGTTGCACGTATGGAGACCTAAATCCATTTAATTGACTTTGAAGAGACAAGAAAGATTACAATGAAAAGACACCACATTACACCAGTAGAAGAACTGTAAAACTTGTGGAATTCTAGAATGGTGTGTTCTTTGAGTAGATTGTTTCCTTTTAATGCTGACATTAAATTTTCAGACTGTTGTTGTTATGTGCTGTCAAGTCGCTTGAGACTCATAGTGACCCTATGTACAACAGCCCTAAACTCTGCTGTCCTGTGCCAATCGCACCATCTCTGATACACCCATCCCAACTGCCCCAGTCACTGAATCAATCCACCTCATAGAGGGCCTGCCCCTCTTGTGCTGTCCCTCTACCCTCCCAAGCATGATGTCCCTCTCCAAGGACCAGTCCCTCCTTACAACATGTCCAAAGTATGTTAGACGTAGCCTCAGAATCCTTGCCTCTAAGGAGCTGCCTGGTTTAACCCTTTCCAGGATGAATCTGTTGGTTTTCCTAGCAGTCCATAGTACCCTAAATACTCTTTTCCAGCACCACAGCTCAAAAGCATCAATTCTCTTTCTGTCCTCCCTAGTCATTGTCCAACTTTCTGATGCATAACAAGTGATTGCAAAGACCATGGCCTGTATCAAATGCACCTTAGTCTCCAGAGAGACACCATTGCTCTTCAGTACTTTGGAGAGGTCCCTAACAGCAGACTTTCCCATCACAATACGTCTTTTCATTCCCTGGCTACTGGTGCCAAGAGTGTTGACTGTGGAGACAAACAAACTAAAGCTGTGAACAATCTCAATCTCTTCACCATCCATCCTGATGCTACCAATTGGCCCAGTGGTGAGAATCTTTGTCTTCTTGATATTGAGCCTCAATCCATATTGGAGGCTGTAGTCCTTGACCCTCTGCAGCAAGCGCTTCAGGTCCTCCTCACTTTCCACAAGCAGGGTTGTGTCATCTGCATATCACAGATTGTTTATAGATCTTCCACCAATCTTGACCCCACATTTCTCCTCATAGAGCCCAGCTTCTAGGATAATCTGTTCTGCATACAGGTTGAAAAGGTATGAAGACAGGACACATCCCTGGCACATGCCCTTCCCAATTTTGAACGATGCAGTGTTTTCTTGCTCTATTCTGATGACTACCTCTTGGTCCAAGTATAGGTTTCTCATTAGCATGATCAAGTGTTCTGGGACTCCCATTCTTCTGAGAGTCAGCCACAGTTTGTTATGATCCACACAGTCAAACACCTTTGCATAGTAAATTCCCTGCTTTCAGCCAAGATCTATCTAACATTAGCTACAATATCCCTAGTACCACAAAAATTCCACAATGACACAGATATGTAAGGCTGGTGACTCATGCCCAAACAATTCCTACTGTTCTATCTTCCTGAGTTTCCTATGACATAGTTACAGTCCTGGATATTACTTTACCTCACAGCTTCTTGTGCCATAGCCCACACTGCTTTCTTGACCAGTACTACCACTGCCCTCCACTGCACAGATGCCAGCTATGTTTTCTTGATGTTATTATATTACCCAGTGTCTCCACCTCTCACACACTTTGGGCACGTTTTTAGAAGGGCCCAGTCCCTTGCAAAGGTGATCAGCCTTGAAAAAGTAGAGAGTGAAGGAGAGTAAGACTCTCAAGGAGATGGACAGACACAGTGACTGCAACAACCACCTTAAGTGTAGCAGAGATTTTGAGGACGATGCAGTATTGGGCAGGGTCTTGTGCTATTGTACATGGGATCACTGGGAGCCTGAGCTGACTCACTGGCACCTACAACAACAATGGAACATCTAATTCTATAATTGGAGGACCTTAATGGAACAGAAAATATGCAGATGTAACATTCATAGGAATAGATAAGGGTAGGGTAAGTGCAGAGGCCAGATGCATTCAGGGAAATTAAGAGACACCATCAGGAAGAGATGCATTTTTCCATAATTATTTCCTTAGCTTTCCATTTACTTTCTTCCTTAATGGCCATTTCACTAAGCTCAGCCACTTAGCAAACTTAAGAAGATGCCTAAAAATCAGACCCACCTGAAGGCATCACTGAAAATGCAGCTCCAGGAATTTAGATGTTTAAACAAATGGATGCAAGCCTGATATGCCAGGAACCTTGGACAACAGCTATGTAGGCAACTAACTGGAAGAGATCTGCATTTGTGCCCATTTTTAAAAGTGACTCAACAGAATGTTAACTTATTGAGAACTATCATTAACATTATGGTTAAGCAAAATTTTGGTGATGATAATTAAAAAATGGTTGGAGCAGTACATTACCAAATGCTCTGAATTGCAACTTGAGGCTTGAACGTTTTCTTTGGTTCTTGCGGTTTGCAAAATGCTAGGCATGTTCTTCCATTTTGTTAACTCCATATCTATACACATTTAGTGATAAAACTTAACTTTGTCTTGTGTTTCACTTTGGAATCTTGTATTCATCATTCTTATTTCATACTTTCTTCTTTTTGCTTTACCTCCTCTATGCTCTAGTGCAAATTTCAGTATCTTTAAACATATATCTTGGTCTTTTATTTACTGTATTTTTAAATGTCCTTTTGCTTCATATAAGATGTATTTTATGTCCTCCCACAACTAATACATCAAATCTATTCTTTATTTTTTTAAATGGGTAAGTTTGATTTAATAAAAATTTCAAATTCCTGATCTTCAAAAGATACCATCAAGCTGGGAACAAATAAAAACCCATATAAAATCTATTCTTGAGATTGGCTCTAAAGTCAGGGTCCAGCTTTCACATGCACAGGAAGAAAGAAAGATGACTTGGGCCAGACACACCCTAGTCTTTAAACTGACATCCTTGCTTTATAGAACTTTAAAGAGACAAGCTGACAATGGATTTGTCCATTTCAATATGTCTTTTGATTTTCTTTACTGCTGTTTCCATGAGTGTTGACTGTGAAAGTTGTACAATGAATAAGGAATAATTAATACGTCTGATTGCGATATTACTGAAGAGAATTGAATATACCATGGACTGCCAAAAGAATAACAAAACCTTCCTTAAAGAAGGTGCAACAAGGGTGTTCCTTGAAGGCAAGGATGGTGAAACAACAATGTACTCAATATCATATTTTGGCTCTTATGAACTTGTTTTCATTTGCCTCAGCTTCAACGTGAACTTGCGCATGAGCAATTGACAATCTGTTTCCCAGCTGGCCCCAATCTTATTCTGAATGAGCTATTGAACTTCTCTCATATTTTTCCATAGATATAGTCTATATGATCCCTATGTATTCTACTTGAGTCCATGAGTATAGTTGGCACTTACGTGTTTTCTTTTTAAAGGTATTTGCAATGTTAAGTAATTGTTGTTGCTGTTGTTAGGTCCCATCAAGTTGACTCTGATTCACGGTGACATTATGAACAACAGATTGAAAGCTTGTACTATCCTGTGCCATCCTCAAAATTAACATGCTTAAGCGCATTTCTGCAGTCACTGTGTCAAGCCAGCTTCCTCTCCTTAACAGGAGAACTCTGCCAAGCATGGTGCCTTTTCCATGTGCTCTCCTGACCACATGCCCAAAGTATGTAAGATGAAGTTTTATGATTCTTGTCTTTAAGGATCATCCCGTTTGCACTTTCCTCAAAATAGATTTATTTGTTCCTTGAGCAGTCTATAGATATTTAATACT